TCTATAACGAGCCTTGGAAAAGAACCAATGGGTGCAGCAAACTGCACTGTTCTAAGCTATTGCCCCCAGCCACCCTGGTCTGTAGCCCTCCTGAACAGTCGGTGCCCAGCCACATGGAGCCAGAGAACCCAATTGGTTATACAAAAAAAAAAAAAAAAAAAAAAAAAAAAAAAAAATTTAGAATCCAAAGTTTGAGATATTTAGCATTTTTTAGCACTTGAGTATTTTAAAATAAATATCTCTCAATTAGTTGAGTACAATACATTGTAAATACATTTGGAAATTGTAAATAGCTTTTTAAAAAGATTTATGGATAAGAGAACTGGGGAACAGGTGCAGGGGGTGAGAGGATTCACCAGAGACAGTGGGGAGCGGAACAGGCTGTCCAGCGAAGTACACTGCTGAGGGGAGCAGCGGGCGGGTCAGGAGAGGTCTGATGCACCATGTGGGTCACCTCTGGGGCTGGGATTGAACTCGTGCTGCATTGACTGCAGAGAGCTTCACGGTGCTGTGCTTTAACCCGTTGCGCCACTGGGGAGGACCCTGTTATTTGTACCGGGAAACAAAAATTTTGACTACTGTGAATTTGCTTTTTTGGGGTGGATCAGAACCCACGTTAACAGTAAATAAGTGCTCTTACAGGTGCGCTTAAGGCATCCTGCCTCTTTTTGTGTCTTATTACTACAGAATTTGCATCGTAAGTGCATAAATCTATTCTAAGTGTCTTTAAATACACTTTGAATTTCATGCCATCACCCCTCCAATGTGGGGGTTCAGCCCAAGCCTCTGTGAGGGTGTGGTGACTGAAGAGTTGTCTCGACCACATTCCAGGATGGATATTTACCTCTGTACCGTGGGGACCTGCCCCCTGCCTGAGTCCTGTGACAATCCCTCACTGCATCTGAGGAGTCCCAGAACCCTCTCCGGCTTCCAGATACCCCCGAGTTTCTTGACCTTTCCAACGTGAGCTCTGCCAGGCCTCCCGTCCCATGTAGTCTGGTGCCTGCTCACCTCTCCCAGCCTCAGATTCACTGCCTCACTGTCTCCCAGGGCCACTTGGATAATAGGTCACTGCCTTGGGCAGCCCACTTCTCTGCTTCCAGCTTGGTGGTATTTTCCCCTGGCAGTGGCCCAGTTACTCTGCCGAACAGCAGGGCATCCTGTCTGGGCTTCGTATCATGAGTTCTGCCTTTCCTGAGGTTGGGGTGAAGACGTGACTTCCCCGAACAGCTATGGGGCTACAGACAGGGCCTCAGCATTGCTAACTCAGGCTTCATATGGTGCTTCCTCCCCTTCTAGAACATAGGATGCTCTTTCTGATAAGCACTGATCTGCTCTTCTTCAGGTCATGTACACAGTGTCTCGGAGGGGGTGTCTCAGAGGAAAAGGACTCAATATTCAACTGTAATATTTATATTCACCAGTAGTTTCCTAAAGTTGCCCCTCCCCCAATCTCATAGTTTTTTTTTTTTTTCACTTTTAATCATTTCCTGTAGTCATGCAAGATTTTTACTGTGGGCTACTGTGTGTCCGAATTCCGTATTTTCTTGCCTTCTACAGTAGCATCATGTCAGTCCCATGGACTTATATTCAAGCTGGGAATACTGTTGCCTAGAGTAAAGGGAATATTGTTATCTGTAGGTTATATATTTTCAAGTCTAAATTTGTGCCTAAGAAAAAGTTTATACACACTCGATGCAGTGTATTGAGTATAAATTAATTTTCCCCTGAGTATAAATTAAATACGCACTCAGTAGGTGAGCTGTATTCCATATTTAAACAGTGCTATCCACTTTCCTCTTGGTTTTTATTAGGTTACTAGTATCCACTGCATTTTCAATTTATGTAGGAGAGCGGAACTAGCTGGGGCTATATCACCACATATAGCTGAATTACTTTGTGATTTTTATTTAGCGTTTGCCCACATGTTTATACTTTGACTTAAGCTCCTTGTAATGTATTAACTGTCTGGTGAACCTTTTGCAGATTCATGAGATATTTGATTGTCAAGAATGTATGAAGAAATTTATTTCAGCTAATCAGCTAAAACGTCATATGATCACCCACTCAGGTAAAACTAGTCTTTCTTTTATTTATATCACATTCCACAATTATATCATGGTCCTCGACTCCCTGTGTGGTATTGATAAGTTACTGAACTTCTCCAGACTTCAGTGTACTTGCAAAGCCAAGGTGGTTGGATGAAAGGAAACGGAGCATGTCCAGTCACTGTTTGTTCTGTTAGCTGCTACTTTTTGAGGCCCAGAATCCATAGGCTCACCTGTGAAAAGGGATCCTGGTTCCTCCCTTTCAAAATTGCTGTAAACGTTAATTGAGGCCGTGCACGTGTTATGTTAGCTAGCTAAGGTTTAGGAGGGCCGGAAAGTTCTATTTGCTGCATTGCCAGAGGCTTATACATAATCAATATGGCACTACTAACTTTTAGTGGAAAATTTATAAAGCTGTTTTGAAGTGCAAGTGTTAAACCACTGTTTTTTTTTTTTTTATTTTAAGCAAGTTTGAATAGTAGTCTTGTTAAACAGAAATAAAAAGAAAATGCCCTCTGAAAATAATGTTTGCTTTGTGAAGTGTCTTTATGGAGCCTAGTGTGTCAAGAAGTGGAGGCTATTGAATTCAGACTGTTTCTGATTTTCCATTGTTTTGGGGGACAAGGTGAAAACAGATATCAACCTGGTGTCCTTTTAGATATGCTTGGTTTGAAATATACAGTATTTTTTATTTACTTGTCAGCATTATGTGAACATTGTATAAATAGACTTTTATGTCACAGTCTAAAAGTGGACCCTGTGCTGAGCACTGGAAGCTCTGCCTTCTGGGTGTGGGGTCAGGGGTCCGGGGTCTGGCTGTGGTCTACCTCCTTGACTGTTCTGCCCCGGTTAGAAAAATTCACACTGATGAGCACAGTTTTTCATTAGAAGTCAGATTTCTTCTTGAGCCTAAGCTTCATCTTTTTACTACTTACTGGATATTAGTTTACAAAATAGGTCCAGAAAAGCCTGCAGGGATAGACTCATCACTGAACAGAGGACCTGGGGAGTAGGTAGCTCTCAGCTGTTTTGATCATGTCTGTGTTGACTTACCTGTAACAGATAATGTTAGGGCCAGATGTTTCCTTTTTTTTTTTTTTTTTTTTTTTAAGACGGCATACGAGATGTCGAGCAGTGACTGGAGTTCAGACTGTGCTCTTCCCATCTGAATATCATTCAGTTTCTAACATTGTGTCATGCTATTTTTATTTTCTTTTTTTTTTTTTTTTTTTTTGCATAACCTTTAGTAGCTCTGAGATTGTCTCCACTTTATTTTTCATAGAGAAACGACCTTATAATTGTGAGATTTGCAATAAATCTTTCAAGAGGCTCGATCAAGTTGGGGCCCATAAAGTCATCCACAGTGAAGATAAACCTTATAAGTGCAAGCTTTGTGGGAAGGGCTTTGCCCACAGAAATGTTTACAAGAATCACAAGAAGGTAAGCGCTTATTACTGGAGTGTGTTCTTGGCTGATTTGCTGATATGATTGCCAGTTGTTTGTCTCTAGAGAAGGTTTTGTGTATCTGTCTGGGCTGTGCTGCACGGAATGAGCATTACAGAGAATCTTGCTCCCATGCCTGCTCACTCTCTCAGATTCTCGGCTCTGCCTTGTTTCTGTTTTCATTCTCTGTGGAAAGTGTTCTCCCCAGCAGAGCGTCACCTGATCTTTCCCAGTGTTCTCATTTTCTCACCTGGTCCATTATACTCCTGCTATGAGGAAAACCATCCGGTATTTTACCTTTTCTAGCTCATTTTACTAAGCATGATCTTTTTCAGTTGAGCTGTCTATTTCTTAACAACAAAAGTGTATCATTACCTCTTTTTTTTTAGTCTTGACCTTTGTGTTTTAAATTGACCCTTGGCCCTTTTTAAAAATTAAATGGCAAATCGTGAAGGTTCTCCCTTTTCTGTGGTCTAATCACCTTCCCCTTCGCCGTTCCAAATTCTGTCCTACCACCTGTCATCCTCAGGCTTGGGATTGTAAGATTTCTGGAGCCGATGTAAGTTACGGTATCTGTACTCGACCTGGTCAGAGCTGGTCAGAGTTGTCCACTCCATGGCCTCAGCCGACTGTCCAGCCTTTGTCTCTTCGTTTCTTGGGACTTGGCCTGCCTTTCTGCGGGGCCTGTAATGTTTTTCCTTCTCATGGAATTTCTGCAGGTTACAGACTTAGTTTTCTCTGCTGATTTTTGTTTGCATTTCCTGCCCTTTACTCAAGATCTTCTTGTAGAATGTGTTCGGTTTTGATTTTTCTGTGGCTAATGTTTGAATGGAACTCAGAAAAAACATCCACAGGTATTCCACAGCTTAGCAATGTATGTAAAATGTATTTGTGATGGATTCAATATTTGCCTCCTGATTTTGTTTGACCTATGTTAACATGTTTTTACCAAACGTATAGAATTTATTGGGGCCTTCGGACACTATTTCATGTGTTCTAAAATCACTTGAACAGTCATGATATCAACTACAGCTTCAGTCTAAAAAGAAATAAAAGGCACATTTCTCAAAGAGTAGACAGGCATGACCAATAGTGTTCCAAACCATCGCTACTCAATTTCTTGCACACTGCTCCAGGTTTAACTCCAGCACGACATGTTTCAGGGAAGGGAGGCATTCATTACTGCTGCTTAGGAATGACAGGACTGTAAAACATTATCTGGCTCGTTTCCTGCTCAGTCCCTGGAACCTCTTGTTCCTTTCCTTGGTGAAACCCATCTATCCACATGTATGAGTTCATCACAGTTTGCTCTGTTATATGCCCCGTGGGAGCATGGCACAGGGTCTTTGTACCATCTCTCGCACTTTCAGCCATCAGTCATAGGAAAGTCACGGTGACATCTTGGAAGGCCAGAAGCACGTGCCTGTGATCTCCAGATGAAGAGCACACTCAGGCCCTCTGCCGTGACACTCATGCTCCTTCCCATGTGCGAGGATCGTAGCGTGTGCTTGAAATGGCTCCTGTGTCCTCCGGAGTCTCTGTGAAAAAACAAAATCGAGACTTTCCTTCTGCCATTTTTGATTAGCGGCTACTTATAGGACTGGACAACAAGTCTGTGCAAGGAGAACAGGGAAAAATCCCACCAAGTCAGACTGATTTTCATCAAGTAATATGAGCCCAAGTTTTAATTTTAAATATTTTTTGGTGTTTTGATTACGTGGCCCATTCTTTTTAGTATACGTCTTTTTTAGGTCAGTAGATTTTTACATTTCTACTTACTTATAGAGGAACCCTGTCTTGAAAGATACGTGGCTGTAACTCTAGATGAAATTTGGAAGGGGTGATTTCAATTTCTGAAGCTTCATTATTTGGTGCATTATCTTGTTTAAAATAAGTCTTTCTGGCCCCTGTGACAACCATACCTGATTTCATAGCTGCATTTTAGGATCTGGCTAAAATAAAGTATAACTGGATTCAACTGTATGTTGAGTCTTTAAATCACAGTTGGAAAGATGTGAGGCCCTCAGGGGACTGAAGCCAGGCATTTCGTCTTCATCCTCCATACCAGTTCCCTGTGAATTAAACGCCAGGCAGTGTTTGGGTGCTGTGCCTGTATCCCCCGCTTTTCTCTGGGAGGGCAGTTTGGTAGACCCAACCGTCCTGGGCCCTGGGGCTTGATGATGCAACAGAGGAGTGTTCTCTGATGACGTTATAAACCAACTCCTGGGGGCAGGTAGAGATGCCTTGATTCAAATAATGGATCTCTTTCCTTTTCCTGTACGTAAGCTCCCAAGGTGAGCTGTAGGGATCTTGGGGGAGAGGGGGTCGGGGTGCTGGTCATCCATTCTCCTGGAACAATCCCACTGGCCTTCTGTGATACCAGCTCATCCAAGGCTTCCAGGCTCTGGGCCCTGCCTGCCTGTGGATCTAGAAGTCCCTTTAATAAGTCATGAATCAGCTCTAAAAATGAAAATGGGACATGGGAAAGAATAGGGGTCATTCAAAAGAATTAAAAACTTGTGTGTCGGCTTTTGATGTAAAAACTTTTTTTTTTTTTTGGTGATGAGTAAACAGTTTGAAAGACATGGCAGGTCAGACTTTGCCCAGGTGAAATTTTATTAGGTGTTAAAGAAAAAGACAAGTTTTCTTCTTAGTAGATGATCGACTAGCTTCTAAAACCATGATCTATGGAATACATTTTACATAGTGGGGAAAACAGTCCTTGAAATCTTTCCAGAAGGGGCCATGTTGGAGACTAGAGACAGTCCCTCGACGTTTCCCTCACAGCCTCTCTTCCCCTCAACTCTGCATCCGATTTCTCTCACTGTAGGTGCACTGTAGGTGAAGTTATCTTAAGGGGCTGTGTTGTACAGAATTGCTGTCTTTGTATTCTAGGAGCATATTTTTATTTATTTATTTATTTATTTATTTATTTATTTTTTATTACAAAAGTTTATTTTTACATCATTTTGTACATTTTTTTTTCCCATCTCAATTGTAATCCCCACGGGTTTCCCATCACCAAGTCACCCGTGTGCCATCACCATAATCCCGTACACTTCCCTCCCCAACCCCCGGTTTTTGATCCCATTCCCCACTCCACCCCCACAAAATGTCTCTGGTATATGGTTGTTCATTATTCTTGTTATTTTCTCGCCTGGTCCATTATACTCCTGCTATGAGTGAAACCATCCGGTATTTTCTTATCTCACTAAGCATGATCTTTTCCAGCTCCATCCAAGTTGCTGCAAAAGACATGTGTTTCTCTTTTTTGGTTGCTGAGTAATATTCCTTTGTATATATGTACCACATCTTTTTTATCCAGTCATCTACTTTTGGGCATTTGGGCTGCTTCCATGTTTTTCCAATTGTAAATAAAGCAGCAATAAACATGGGGGTACAGGTATCTTTTTCAATCAGTGTTTTTGTGTCTTTTGGGTAGATACTTAGGAGTGGGATTGCTGGGTCGTAGGGAAGCTCCATGTTTAGCAGTTTGAGGAATCTCCAAACAGTTTTCCATAGTGGTTGTACTAGTTTGCATTCCCACCAGCAGTGCAGGAGAGTTCTCTCGGAGCACATTTGCAGTGATGAAGATTCTCTACCAAGAGGGTGTCTGGGGAAGCAGAAATGCAGATGTTTATCTGAGGCTCATTTAGCTCATGGAAGATCATTTACGCTAAGTGATTTTTCGTAGAAGCGGATGATGAGATAGTCTGTATAGCCTCTGACTATAGTACTTTGGTTCCCATCCTAGACTTGAACCTTTGAAGACAGACACTGTGCTGCTGATTTAACTCCTGATCCACTATTAGGAAATAGATCAGTTTTTTTTTTTTTTTTAACATTCACCACCAGGGAGGACCTGAAACAGTAGCTTTTATGAACTTTCATTGAGAATCTTTCCTCTGGTGATGTGCTCACTTAGTTGGGGACTTGCATGTATGTGAAAACACGCACATTTTCCTTATCAACCTTTCCTGACCAAATATTCCAAATAATATTAACTTTTGGTGATTTGTTCATTCTAGAGATTTCTCCTGTAAGTAAGCAGTGTTGTACTCAAGAACTACCATGAATGTCTAGAGACTATAGTGGAAATGAACAGGAGTTACTCCCCTGTTGTGCCTTTGTTTGTACTTGAGGAAACTGCTCTCATTTCTCTTGGGATGGCAAGTAAATTTTAAATGCAGGATAGCAGCTTACTTAGCTGTCTCGCCTAGCAAACAAGTTACCTACTAGATGAACTGGTGCAGGTCTAGTAGAGCTGCTGAGTTGTCCTATGGGTTAGGTGAAGGAGGGTGCCCAGCTTCTACATGCACCCTCTGCCTTAGAGTAACCAGAGTGCCTCGAACACTCTGGCCGTTTATGTGTGTTGTCAGCCAGCATGTGAAGGAACATACTAGTGGCTTGCACCTGTTCAGAGAGAACTTCACTGCAGGTGCTAGAATATACCTGTTGTGTGCTCAGATCAGCTGCCTGAAAGCTGTTTGTGGGAGGCATCCTTGCTCCGAAAGACAAGCTAGTGTCTCGTCTCTTAGCAGTGTGGTGGACCAGGAAGCTTCCTGGGTGGGGCTTTAAGTGGCTGTGATTATTCCTTTCCTTCTTGCCCTGATGAAGGGGTCTTTGAGACCGTGGGGACTTCAGTCAGGTATTGCTGACTGAAGGCGGGCTTGGCTGTGTGGGGGTGTATATCCTACGAATGTCACCTAAATATAACCGTAACTGCCAGGGAGAGTGAGCTCCTTTTCCCCGTCTGCACCTAAAGAAGCTGATTTATCGCTCCAGTTTCCATTGTTTTTATGAGGAAGAGTCTTTTTAAGGTACTCCATTACGAAGCTGAGAGTAAAAATTTAGTCCAAAGACCTGTAATTAAGCAGGTGACACATTTTATGCAGCGTTAGGTATATTATGTGACCCAATGGGGCAGTAATGTACTCGTGCAGACTGGAGACTTCAGTAAAACTTTTTTTTTTTTTTTTAAAAAAAAAAAAAAGAATAACATGTCTATCTCTTGATCTCTTGCAGTGCAGCAATAGATATTCCAGATAAGCCTGGCTTCATTTTTAAGTTTGCATAACCCTGTTAAAAGTTTCATTCTGTCCCCATGAAGTTAGTGTTTCATCGTTGTGGCCAGAAATGAGCTAATTGGTCACTACTGAGTGAGAATTAAGCTTAAAATAGTGTTCTGAAGCATTTCTGAGACATCAGGTGGAAGCAGCATCACAAATATTTTACATCTGCAACAGTAATCAGATTGGTGCATTAAAAAAAATCAGGGCATATAAAATTACATTTCACAGCCCTATTTCACAGACCATACAATTTTTTTCTTTTTGGTCTGCAGATGTTGGCTCACTGGTGATTTGACTTTGGGGAGTTTCTGTACCTCAGGCTTATGTGACTCAGCAGTCTGTAAAAGTCACCCTCTCTCGAGATGAAAAATGGAAGGCTGAGACACCTCAGGAAAGCTTTGTTTTCTGGGCCCTGTGAAAGGGGACAGGCGTCCTCTCCACCATGTGTGCGATGATTTTTGCTGCATTTATTTCAAGGAGGTGGTTGCTTCAAGGACCTCAGTTCAGCTGAATGCGGGGGTCTCTGCAGAGACTCACAAGTCATGCTGTCTAAACGGGGTCAGTGGTGTTAGAATGTTAGTGACAAGGATTCTTTCCTGCTCTGGTGATACAACTTTGGCTTAGCTACCTGAGGTAAGAGGTGTGATGCCGTCCAACTCTATTCATAATCAGGCTCCTACATCTCTCCCACCAGTTGTTTGCCTCTGGATTTGGAACAAGAGAAGGAGTGGGTTTGTAAGGAATATCATAGCTTTGGAAGACTCCAGCAACTCTGTATTCAAATATGGACACACTAAAAGCATAATGTCTTTTTTTAATCATCGTTCCATACTCTGTGTAGAAAATTAAAAGTTCAGGGCCTTCCTTGGTGGTGCAATGGGTTAGGACGTAGCACTGCAGGCTGGCCACAGCTGCTTCAGTGTGAGTTCTATCCCCGGCCCTGGAGCTGACCCACAGGGTGCAGCAGACCTCTCCTGACCCGCCCGCTGCTCCCCTCAGCAGT